TGGAGAGACAGAAAAAAGAGCTGTAAATGTGCTGATGAATTCAGAGAAGTGGTCATGTTGAACAGGCGTGTATTAATTGGGCTGACCTTGTCACCTTCTTTTCTATTCTACTGTGGGATAATAAAAAAAAAACATCAGCACAACTAACAAATGCTTGTTATTAAATAGAAAGAGGATAGTAAAAACCAGTCATATTAGTAATGCAAAGGTTTAAACTACTATAAATTTCTCTGCATTTTTGGTGTGCTTGTTGCAAATAAGGGTTAGTTACACATTTGTCTTAGCCCCTACCTCTATTGAGGGATTTAGGGTTGGGGGTCATGCAAGGACAGAGGCTTGGCTCTAAATAAAGCTCATTGTTAGCTTATGCTTCTTAGCCTACATAATAATTGTCTATAAACAGTGACTATTGAAATCACAAGCAAGGTCTCCATCTTATAGAGAAGTAAAATAGAGTTTAAGGCTGCTTTATTTAAGTACTTAAAAAAAAAATTATATCTCTCTGTATATGAAGCTAGAACTTAACATTACACTGTGAACTGATACTTCTCATTTATTTAGGGGAATTTCTCATTCTAGTACAATTTGTTCCTTATCGGTGGTGTTCAACAATGTATTCCATTATAGTTCTAATAATGAATTTCGCAAAAATTGAGGAGTATTTTCAAAAGACAGCAAGACAGTGCAAGGGAGCTAATGCAGATAAATTGATGATGATACATTTGGATTACCGAACTACCATCAATGCGTCTGAGTATTTCCTCCTAAGACAGAAAATTTTAGCCAGGTCTTTAGCTCCAATTTTAGTATTTGAGGTGAAGATTTCTAAGACATTTAAGGCAGGGGAACTACTGAACAACTTCTGAAGGCAAAAGCTTGAAAACTTAAAAAAAAAAAAATTAAAGGGACACTATGCAACATTTTTCAGTTAATTAATGTGTTCCATAACGTTATGGATGACTAAATGAGTCATTTCAGGTTGAACAAAGGTATTCTCGGCCGCCCTGGTGGTCTGTGGGGGAAATACTGCACTTGCAACTGCAGGAGCACCGACCCGCACCCACAGGCTCAGAAGTCTCGTGAGAGTCAGTCTTGCTTTACGGCGAGAACTGCTACACGCCCCCAGTTAAAAGCATTCTCGTTGCTAGCACAGTGGCAATCTTTGTGCAGTTATGCTACGTTCATGCAGCAAAAGCAGCAAAATTGTGTCTGCTGCTTCATTTTTACTGCTTGTACCAGTTTAGTTCTGACGCGTGGCTGAAGCAGCTTTGCTGCTCTGGCTGCCCGGTGCAAAAGTGGCTCTGACGCGCGTTGGGCGGAGCTTCACTATCCTTTCTCTGCCTTGCAGCTATATTTGCTGTGATCAGTGGGAATAAAGTAGTTTTAATATGTGTTTAAGTGAGAAAATACACAGCTCAGACCCCCACATACCAGCGGGGCGCCGACAGTATGGATCCCTTCATCAGCAGCGGTTCACCGCGGCAGCTGGTAGGTGTTTTTCATCTAAATAATCCAAACTGCATATTCTGCCGGCAGATTTCTGCATTTTAAGTTAATTTAGGCGTCAATAAACTGTTTAAGAGGAGTGATCATCAGCGCTGTGTCTCTCTCCCTGCGTTAAACGCGCCCGATGCGCTGCTTCAGGTGCTCAGACGTGCTGCGCCTGGTGCTCAAAACGCGCCGCGGGACCTTTTGTTGCGCTTTGACGCGCGTCAACCATTGACTTTGCATGTAAACTCGCTGCTTCTGTCGCGCCAGCTACGTCCAGTGTGAACGCAGCATTAGTCATTCGCTGCTAAGCTCAAAACAACCGCGCCTGGCTTGACGGAGAAACCAGGAGAACAGCTGAGCATATTTACGACAGTGCACTTTTACTTTCGCCCTCTGGGGGGAGCCTCGCTGGAAAATCAACACCGGTTGCATAGTGTACCTTTAAAGGTCTGTTCCAAACATTATCTGGGGATGAAAAATTAGGGAATAATTTCTTTGGGAAAAAAATAAAATAATGTAATAAAAATCTCCTATATTATGAACCTTCATTCTCTACAAAATCCCACTAAGTTGTATTAAGCAGTTGCCCCAGTGCTGTTTCAGCTGAAGTCCTCTATATCGCCATAAATTGTGTTGGGTTCCCTTCCTTAATGACTTTCTACATTATCTTTAAGCTGCCACACATTATTTTAAACTTTTGTCAAACAAAGAGGCCTTTCACTCATTTCCATAAGAAAGGTGTAGGTGGTACTGTTAAAGACAAGATGTTATTCATACTGGTTAGTGCCTTCCTGTTTTAGTTTGTATCACACAAACCACTTGTTTTTACTTAAAGGTATAGTGGGGGATTTTAATTTGGAGCTGGATCATCAAAATAAATGGTACTCCTAATTGTCAATCATTCTACTGATATGTTTACGTAAAGCCGTCTTACGTGCTCATCCCCCTTTACACTTACCGGTGGTGAGTCTGACATAGCGGAAAAATTGCAAATCTTCTTTTGTAAAGTAAGCTTGAATGAACGATGCAAACAGCAACTTTTAAACAGAGCGTGCAAAAGGAGAAATTGGCTGGTGCATGCTCTCACATGTGTTTAATAGGTGTACCCTATTGGGAGCAGGTACAGGGTTGTGTGATGTGCATTTTTTTTTTAAGTGGAGAGGGCTGGTCTTTTCAAAAATTCATGAAAATCCTCCACTATACCTTCAGGCTTTGTGTAAAAACTGTCTGCTTTTAAATAACAATGGAAAGGAAATATATATTTTTTCCATCTTTCATCATTTGAAGAGTTTGCAGGGTTATTCTTATTTGCTAAAATGTATTACTTCTTTTGTATAAAACAAATATATATGTATTCTGTGCTTCTACCATAAATTTTGTTTTCATTAACGTTTCTTCTCAATAATTCAGGAAAACCACATTGAAAAGCTGGTAAATGCAAACAGAAAGCCTTGGTGTGCAGAAAAAATAACTTGTAACTGTATCCTTGATAGATTGTTTTTATTTTAAACCATTTTTTTTTTTTTTTGCTGGTATCAAACTACATTGGATGATTAATAGAATATAAACCAGTGTTTGCATTTGTCAACGGCATCTGGAATAATATGAAAAATAAGCTTTAGTCCCTGCCATCGGTTTCTCTCTGAGCTGCTGTTGAAACGTGGCAGCAACATGTGGCCAATCAGAGAGTGGAGACAGATAAAGGGTTACAATTAGAGTATTATTTGCTTATAATAGCTGACATTTGCTGTTCCGAGAATTCTGGTTACCCGAGAAAAGTTATAAAAAGTAGTTTGAGCACAATGCTGCAAATGGATTTTTTCTCAATACCTTCAACTTGGATCAATTGTAAATTGCAATCAGAGAGTACTACAAAGTGTTTTTTTTTTATTCTGAAAAACTTAGAAAACCTGACATGGTCTTTAATTAAATAAGATAATTCTATGAAAATGGAACATTTATATTACATCTCAGTTTTAACTCGATATGCATCTGTTTCAAATTCATATTACTATCCATTTTGAAACACAGTGAACAGCTGAGCATCCAAGTGCAGCTTCTCTCTTCTTTTTACACTATTTATGCTACATGTAAGGTGTTTTCTGATGGTGTCTCAATAAATAAAATAAATCAAGCTCAGTATTCATGTTTATCACAAAATTGTTTTTGATGATTTAGAGCATATAAAAAAAACTCAAACTCAAAAAAAAACTTATTGTATTGGTCTGTATGTATATGGATCAACGGTCTTAGATTTCTATGCCTGTGTGCTTAGTCTGTATGCTTTTTCTTTTTGAAAATCAAATGGGAAAACCTACTGTAATAGGAGCGACAACATGCATTATCATTTCTGCTGTTATTTGAAATTCATTGTTAATGACAAGAAGAAAAGAAATAATCTGTGCTTTACTGGAATATGTAAATAATTAAGCTAATATACTGTGTGCGTGTCCACTAATGTCGTTATGCTTCTTGTTACTTGTCGCCAATCATCTATGTGATTTGAATGATTGGTAAACAAACAGTTTGCCACTTTGATTTAAAAAAAAACAAAAACTGATTGTTGCTATTGTTATTTTTGAAAGTTGCATAAATAAATTTAATTCAATTTAGCTGTTGTACTTTCTATACATAAGTATTTCTTAACTTTTGAATAGATAATTTTAACTTTAATTGTTGTCTAATAATCAAATTATAAAACTAACATTTATATTTATCTTCCAGATTGGACTATGTGGCTATTTCTTTTCTAAAATATGACTAAATATACTTGGACAATTTGCTGAAAATAAAAATTGAGGACTATAGTAAGAAATCTGGGCTGTAAATTCAGGATTTAAGTTCAGCTTCGTGCTAGAACAGCTCAGAGTATTGCATCAAACATGTATATATAGCTATATGTACAAGCTTTAATTTGATAGAAGAGTATAATGGGTTATATTTTGAATGAACAAGTCCAGGGCTGATAAAATATGAGACTTTGATATAGAAGCAGGCTCTATCTACTGAAGTATTTTCACTTAACATTTATGGAAAATGTCACTCATAATGAGATGAGAATGTGAATTTGTTTCAGAAAGCCACTATTAGTTATGATCTGGGTCCCACAGGACAACTTTTCCAGGATTGTGGGAAAAATAGAATATGATAACATCTGTAGACAAAACAAAACAAGAAGTAATTTCAGTGAACATAACTCTCTGGTGTAATGCTAATCGCTTTAATGTCAGCCTTGATTGTCCTGTTAACCATGGCAGGGTGGAGTTAAATCAGGGCCCCTCTTTTGAAGCTATTATTCACCAAAATTGAAGTGGCATCATTTCCAAAACAAGAAAAGAAAAGAACAGAAATTGATTTGATTGGACAAATAGCAAAAAATAAATAAATTACCATTTGTAAACAAAAGCAGTGAAACATGATTTAACAAAAATAAGAGAAATAAGTTTTAGAAGCAGCTAGCTGTGCTGCAGCACCAACATATAGTCTGAGAGTAATACACAGACACCCTGTTTCATCAATATTATTTTTTATTTCATTCCTCTTTTTTAACACGGCTACTGATGCCACATTAAAGCCAGCTTTGTCTGTTCCTTGTTCAAAGACGTTTTTTTGGGGGGAAGCTCAACTCCATGCTTTATGTGCTGTTGATCTGTTTAACCGATAAATTCCGACTTTATTAACACTGAATTATACAATTATGGTATTAAAAAAAAAAAACACATAAAAAAGTAATTTATAATGATATTTGCTTCCATTACAGATAAAACTATGACCCAAATTTAAACCAACATCATAAAAACAAAGCAGTGTTCTTAGCAATAGTCATGTAGTAAGGGTTCACTGGAAAATACAAAGAATCTTTAAAGCAATTATCACCCTGAAAAGATAGGATCAAAACATCAAAGCATCAGAACTACTGTCTTCTTTGAATCAACTACTGTATGGAGTTTTTAAACAGCCACTCTTCTGTGCTATGGTGAGAGTAGCCTTAACTTTAGCATTAAACAGATATTTAATCACCTGTTATTTTCTCTTATTTCTGCCCCTTTAATCCATATAGGATACAATGATAATGTGAAAAACATTGTTCTTTTCTAATGTTTTTGCAAATTTGCTGAAGTACATTCCTATGCATAACAGCTCTCATAAGGTGACAAAAAAGGGGGTAAACCCCTCACAGTCTTGTGCTAATATAAAATAAGATTGGATTCTTCTTTTTTTTTATAAGCACAATGAAATCTTTTACTTATTCCCAAAACCTCCAGTTGCTATTTTTTCACAGAAACATTAACAAAACAGATCAGAACAGCATGATAGTAATTTAAAAAAGGCAGGGGTAGTAAAAGCACTGAGATGCCAAAGTATGAACATTTAGCTTGATAAAGGACCAGTGCGAGGACAACTTTCCTGTACATCATAAGTGCAGTCATATTATCTGTGAAGGTCAATCTGTTCTCATAAAAAAGTTGGTTTTAATGAGAAACTGCTGGAGTCCTTTCTTCTTCAGTGAGTCTTTCTGTATCCTACGCCTTGCATCATGTTGCCTTTCCTCCTCAGCTGGTGAATGTTGGCCTACGGGCTATTCTCACCACATTGTATGTGTTTAACCCAGGAGCATCAAAGCCAGGGGACAAGCCTTGCTTATTAAACAGATAGAAGTTGAACAGCTGACCGTCTTGGGCTTCCAGTGAGACTGAAGCCTTGCCCACTTTCAAAACACAAGGGTACTCTTTATCAAACACAACTCTGAATACTCGCTCAACCAGGTAGTTAAGCTTTATTGTTCTATACTTCTCTGGTATCAACTCTTCAATCTGAGGACCAAACTGCTGCATGATCAGAACGCCGTCAGGTCCCACCTTGATCTCATAGAAAGTAATGTTGCTGTAGGTGAAAAAGCCGATATAATGAGCTGGATTTGGAGGAGCAACAAGAATCCTCTTGGCTTCTCTAAAGGCTTTCTCTATTGCTGGAATAATGTAGCTGTAGGCCTTTGTGACCACATCCTGTTTCTGAGGCCTGCTCCCCGCCATAAGGACCACTAGACCAAGCTTCAGTCTGGGAACCAGGGAGAATGTAGCCGAGTAGCCATCCAGATCACCATCTTTTCTCAAAATCTCGTAGCCCATGAGGTCATTTACCTCCCAAGGTGTCCCAGTACGGTTTGCAAAGTAGTCCTTATCACACCTAAAGAGCGGGTTCAGCATGATCTTCAGAGAATCTGGCTCCAGCAGTTTACGGTGGTAAGCACCCAGCAGGACCATGGCGAGTTTGGCCATATCTGCAGGAGTGGAAAACATCTGACCGGAGGGCCGATACCAGCCGAGATCATAGAGAGGAGCAGGCTTTCCATTGGAGTAAACTCCGACAGCAAACTGGCTCTGCAACCCAGGGGTAAGCTCAAAACTGGTGTCTTCCATTCCTAATCGATCCAAAATGTTCTCTGTGACCCAGCGCTGATAGTCAACCCCAACCACTTTTTCAGACATCACATGAGCAAGTAGAGAGAATGCCAGGTTACTGTAGTGACACCTAAGAAAAGAGAACATTTAAAGAAATGAGAGAGAAAAGAACAGAAGCAATGACACGCTGTCTGGTCATGAAAATTTAAATCCACAGAATGAGGCTTGTTGCATTAGGCATGACATGTCAGAGTGCATTCAGTGTGATTACAGACATGGTTCAAAGAAGGAGATTTATTGGAAAATGTAGAAGCCTCTAGTAAGGCTCTTTATGTCAATAAGCTTTTCACACTGTTAAAAAACTGAAGAACATATTGAATTTTGTTAGCATGTGATGGAGGACAAGTTACAGCCTTAAATGTTGATGGTGTTTCATTCTGAAAGGTCAAAGAAGACGTACTTAGTTCCTGGATCTGCAACAAGGACATCATCTTGTAATAGATTGATTGCAGATTGTGTTTTGCCTTTCCAGAGTAGATTTGTGGCCCGAAGCCTCCGGGGTAGACCTGGAGCAAAACAAAAAAGAGGAAAAAAAACAACCAAATCTCTGGATGAGATTAGCAACTAAAGATATTTTTCCAGGCATTATACACGTTTTCCATAAAAGAAAAAAAAGATTTTTAGAAATCCCTCTAATATTATCATTATGGTGCAGCGCATGTTTTACTTTTTTTTTTAAAAAAGTGGTCATATGTGGACCCACTGTATATACTGTTTATACCCCCTGCACCTTTTTCTACCTTTGGCAAATTCTTCTTAGAGTATTTGATCTGATGTAACAAGTAAATTTCTCTACTGTGAGATCAATAAAGTCAAGCAATCAATCAAGCAATTACTTGTACTTCAGCCTTGTGAGAAAAACACATAGTTCTTCATCATGGTTAATATGTCCACCCCTGATTTTACAGGCACATAAATATACTGACATGTATGATACTTCTAAACTGTCTTTTTTTATTTTATTTTCTCTTTTAGACTAATTATTAGGTAAAGTTTATTAGACTGAAAAAAGACTGAAAAAAAAATCCTAACTCTGTGTTTCTGAAAACAGCAGCTGAATGGTTTGTGAAAAGTAGCAAAATGCACAAAATGTAGTTTGTTTTAATACAAAAGCAGTTTTCTCATTGTTTCTTTTGTCTTTTTTTATCTTCTATCTGCTGAATCCACAAACCTGAGAGCTGGCTTGCCATCCTGCGCAGGGTGACAGAGGAGGAGCGGATTTGTACCTCTCCGCTGTCTAAAAATATGAGGCCATCTGTCACATATTTCAACTCTGAGTCCCGTGTTTTTCCCAGAGGGTTTTTTATGGTGAAATTGTCCACATATTTTTCGAGGGGGTCATCTAAGGAAGCAATCTTTCCATCCTCCCACAATTTGTAGAGCATCAGCGTCGGGAAAATCTTTGATAAACTGGCAATTCTGAAAGACAGACAATATGTCATAGTTATTGGTTTTGATTTTTGGATGACACACCAATTCACAGTTTTTATTTACTCTCTTGCCTTTCTGATGTTTTTCTTTTTTCCAATATGGCCACATGAGTGTGTGGAAGACATGAACTTTGCTAAAAATGTACTTGGCTAAAAATAGAATATATATGCATCTTATTACATTGTAATGTTTCACTTCTTCATGATCAAAAACTGATGTGGTTTTATTTGCTTGTAATTTTTCACTGTTAGCTTTCTGGAAATCTTTACTGTTTATATTCTCTTTACTTTTTTCATACTCATTTTGATAAGATTTGACGAATATAGATTTAAGTCCCGGAAATGTTAAAATCTGTACAACAAATGAGGTAAAAGAGCTTAAATCTGATATGTAAAATGTTTTAAGCAGACCAGTTACCTGACCAGATAAATGTAAGTCTCCACCAGCCTATTGGAGTAGAGGTGTAAACAGAGGCGTAGCCAGAAAATTTTTTAATAAAGGTGGCCAGGCAATAACCAATGTACTTTGAGGGGTGGCCGAAAGCAGATAGGCGCCTTGAACCTCAGGGTTAAGCTACACTGTTCCAACAGGAAAATTAATGAGCACAACATCCATGTTTTCTAAATGAAGACAGACTATCCTTTCCTGCAGCCTTTGCTTACAAATAGACGCATATATAGTGGATGCAATTCTTTCAGGTTTAAGTTCTCGGGCAAACATCTTTTCCATTGTCATCACTTATTTTTATCAATAATCATTCAGCAAAAAAATTATATTTGCAAGTAAAAATATCTACATAAATTGATTATTTAATACGTTTTCATTAAAATAGTTATTTATCTATGATTTCACTGAAGACTGCTAGATGACCTGCAGAGACACATCATTTTCTCTTTACCCCATTTAACACAAAATCTAGTTCTGAAACGAGTATGAATTCTGTATTTATCTTTAATTTTGGTATATTTATTTGCATAATTAACGACAGTGTATTTGTTGTCAAGTAAATGTTAATATATGAAAAATTAAAATGGTTTGAATATTCAAATTGAGAGTCTGTTGCTAGTGTTTGTATTAGAGGGAAAAAAATGGTATGGGCGCCACATCAAGCTCTGCCCCTGGCTGTAAATAATCATTTCAGTTGCCAGGTGGTGCTGTTTCAGCTTACAGTCAGAAGGGATAATGTTAACAGTTAAAATGAAGAAAACTATATCATTATCCCTAGATAAGAAATCCTGTTGGGGAAAAAAAAGGAATCAGCTTCATCCCATATTGAGGAAGCTTTGATTTTATGATACTATTTTTGTAGTCAACGTCCCCTAACCTGAGATTAAGCCCAAAACAAGTCAAAGACCTATAAACAAAACAAGTCTGTGGGCAACTTTGGCTCAATGGGAAGAAAATCATAATAAATCTAGATTAATGTGGCTGCATAGAGTTCTGATCCTGTAAAAAGTTGTCTTGTTTTTTTTTTTACTACAGGCAGAGTGAGTAATGGCAACAAATGGAGATGGAGAAATTAATGCAACTGATTTTCTTTCTTTTGTTTTTTTTTCTTGATGCTTTAGAGTCAGAGGAACGTCTTTATAACTGCACTGGAAAATGTTTCTCACACTTGTTTCTCAGTCCTACTATCTTACAGGGGGATGGTAATTCTGGAATTGCTGTATTGATTGAGTGAGCTCAAGACCCAACCAAGACGGTGAAAATATACTCTACAAACTAGTCTTGAGGGCAAGATTATTTTTTTTTATCTCAACTATAATGTTATAATGGTATGAGAATGGCTATTCCACAAAGCACAATCAATTTAAATGACCATACCCTAAAACGCCTTATTTTCCAGTCTCAAACCTTTCCTGAAAAAATAAATAAAAACAACTCAGTTAAATATGAAGTAGTTTATGATCACTTTTTATATGTTTTGAGATAATTAAGAATAAATACAAAGCCCTGTTTACTCAGAACTATAAAGGGTTAATGCTGCATGCACTTGTCTGTCTGAAGTGGACCCTATATGGAGTATATCTGCCAGCTGTGATAAAAAGCACTTTTTGTAGAAAACTCTTTAAACTGATCATCTGTCCGTTCAGGAGGGGGTGTAAATGGGAGGTCCTGCAATTAGCCCTGTGGTAAATCAATAAATCTTTAAATCCCTACTTTTAAATGTCATGTGCTTTTTTAAGGGTTATCTGGATGCCACGGCACATACTAGGACATGGCTCTGCTTTAGTTTGAATAGATCTGTTTCAATAACCAGTGTGCAGTGAAGGAGGTCAGCTTGCTTCAAATTGTCTCTTAAAAATTTATAAAGTTTTCATTGATTTTAATGATGCATTTTCAGGAGGGGTTGTAAATATCTAGCAACTTCAATTACAATCTAAAAATACAGCACAAATGTATATATATATATATATATATATATATATATATATATATATATATATATATATACATATATACTTATCTATATAAGTATATATATACATATATACTTATCTACTTGTCAGGTGTGGTGTTTGCCTCCCCCGCCCTGCCTACTGAACATCCTGGGCCCTGAGTGTGAGTAGGGCCTGACTCCTCCCCCTTATTATTCACTAGATTCACTTTGGGCATGGCAGCTGGCGGAGCCCATGACCTAGCTTCCGCGGCCCTGTGGGACCTCTGCACTATGGCCTCCGTGTTCAGGCCCCTCAGGGACTGGGCCCCTTTGGAGTTTTTGCCCCTAAGGGGTCGGGCTGCAGGTGCTCTCGTCTGCACTTCTATGGAGGGAGCGGCCATCCCTATGTCTGCCCCTATTGTGTCCCAGTGATGTGGGCTGGCTCTGGATATCTGCGGCTTGCATCGCCTCTTTTTCTGTCCAGAGCCCTGTAGGGCTAGTCCTGAGCTGCTCACAACTGCTATTAAGCATACTTTTCTTCTGAGGAAGCTTTATAAGTCCTTTATACTCGAGCATGCCCATGCATACATGCCACGGGAGTTTGGTTCCAGGTTTTCACAGATACAGACTAATAAAAATTACTAAGCTGCAGCTGGAGAAATGTACCACCTTGAATAATATTGTGTAATCAACATAGGTTTTGCCTTCGACAAACATGAATAGCTAAGGGATAGTCGCTGCTCTGGTAGCTTTTTAAAAATGTTTTCTTTGACTCTCTGTTGTCTTTTCTTTCCTGTTACGTTCTCTGTTTTCTGTTCCTCTCGTCTCATACAGTTGTGGAAGCAGACTTCTAGGAGTAACTTTATATAGTCTTTTTAGTCTATATTTGCTGTTTTGTTTTATTTTTTTCTCTTGTTATGCACTCTTTCCGGTCTTTATCTGTCTCTCTCTCTCCACCTAGTTCTTATCCCTCCCTTTCCGTCCGTTGTATACATTGTTAATCCTTAAATAATTTTCAAAAACGTTTCATACAAAAGTATCAAAAAACAAAATGTGAAATGTGTTTATCATGCATTCAGAGCTACAGAATAAATTGTGTACATGGAAACAAGCAGCTCTCTTTGAAAGTCTGCATCATTCTGACAGCTTTAGGGAGAGTTTATTCAGAGCGTTAAAAAAACACAATCTTTGCTTTTAGCTCAAAGCACCATTTATATGTTTCAAACGATTCAGTTAGGTTTCTGTGTCCAATCTGGATTTGAAGTCAGTATTACATAAGAACTGATTTGAGCTTTTTTTTTTTTTTATGATTTGAGCTTTTAATGGTATGATCACGAAGGGAAAACATGTCTGATAAGAGAGTAAATATAATGAGAACATTTTTAAAGTGTATAATTTTTTTAAATATATATATTTGATAATAGTCAGTACTCTTGTCATCCCCCGTATTAAAAAAATCTTTAAAAAAATCATATAGATTCAAAATGTCATCCCCTCATCCCATCCCCTGTGGTATCTTATTACTGAATGTGTAACATTCCCCCTATATATTAACAGTAATGGCAATAATATTGCCCTTTCAGCATTTGGCTGGCTGGAGGCTTACAGTATGAGTAGCCTGAGCAAAATAAATAAAATCAAAGAAGTGGCCATGCCATGCATATTGCTTTAGGTTACTAGACTATAGTAATTAGGCTATGTATGCTTAAAAAAAAAAAAGAATTTCACCATTCCCCTTTTTTTTTTTTACAACTACACTACTGATAAAAGTTACTTTTGGTCGTTGTACATCCAAAAGGAACTTTGTCAACGTTCTCTGCATAAAATTGAGCTTGTTGCTGGTATGACTTCGACTCCCTTAGATGTTTTACCTTGTCTCTGCCACTGGTTGTCAGGTTGTATGACAACATCTCAAATCACGGAAAGGAGGGGCTCTGGTTGGAAACATCAGAGTTTAATCTTTTTTTTTTTAGCATCTTCAAACTATGACCTTCAACACCCAACAAAGGAGTTTTCAGACCAATGTGAAGTAAGTGGGTAGAAAAGGATTTTTTTTACAAAGTCTGATGCCATGGTTTTCAACCAGCTAAGGGGTCAGTCTGTGTGTCAAGATGAGCATCAGTTTCAAGTGATATGGTCTGATTCTCAAAGGCAATGTCAGGATGGAGTGGGAAATGGAAATATTTTGGCCTCTTCTGTTGTAACCAGGGTATGTCACGGTGGTCTGGTCCTCCATAACATACCCTGACAAACCTCTTGATTTTTTTTTTATCCATTCACCCTCATCTGAGGTCATGAGGTGTAGATCATGACCAAAATAACAAGTTTGTATTCTTTTGGGCAATAAATTGCCTGAAGTCTTGTGAAAGTGATGGGTTGAAAATCTATCAAATATTTTTCAAATATAATTTTAAATCTGTCTGTTTTTCTATTACATTGCCATTGTCAAAAATTGACAGCTTACAGCAACACAAAAAAATCAGAAGAGCACTGCTTTATTCTACATACTCTGTTTACTCTATGCAGTGTAAACACTTTGTTGTTAGGAATATTGTAGGGGTGGCTTCTTTGTTTTTTATAATGAAGATACGAGCAGAAACCCACTGTCCAAATGGAAAACGCTGCCAACCAACCAACCGCTTTTGTCCAGAAAGTGTTGTCATTTTGCAAGAAGGAATTCTTTTAGCCACTGACGAGGGCTCAAAAGTCTTTAAATCATAGCTCTTACCATACTTCATGCCTGACAGAGTTTTTTTCAAACCACTATTATAGCCTATAGCAGTACAAAGAGACTTTAATGGACATAATGAATTGCTGTTTGGGAAAGCTGTTGGTAGCTCACTTCATTGTGGCTTGATTAATGGGCATTGATTTCTCTAGATCAGAACTCTAAGAGCAATCCTGGGTAAACTTGAAAACAGAAGGTTCATTTATCTGTTATAAATAGACCACTGCAGTAGAGCTTTTACTTTTATATGGGCTTTATACTTAAATTCACAGAATTAGAAAATTGTTTCTTAATTGGCTAGGCGGCCCCCTCAGGCAACTTTTAATTAGAAACTACAAAAATAATCAATTTTACTTTTACAATGAATTTTTATCTAATTCCCACTAAAACAGACTTTTCTTCTATCCAGTTATATTTTTAATGAAACTTTAGTTTACTCAAAGGAATCCTGAAAATTTACCTGATATGAATAAAATAAGGCAAAGCAAAAAAAAAATACCAGTGCAATACAAACCTTTTAAGAAAATACAAACATAAAACAAACATTTGAGGGTATTGTTATGTATAAATAAAGAGTATAGAGTGCCATTTGGTGTAAAAACAACCTGTAGATGGTGTATTCACTGGGTGGGCCTGACAGAGGGTCACTGGCATTCCTCTTTCCAAAGTTACCAGTCCACAAAACTGTGTCATTCAAGATCACAATGGCAGACAGAGCAGGAAGGCTGACGGCATTGATGCTTTGCCTGAACAGAACATCCACCTGCAAGGGAAAAAAATAGCTCTAAAATATTTTAACAAAATAGCTGAGACTGTAACTAGTTTAAAAATTCATTTTTTTTTAGCTCCTAGCTTTTTTGTTGGTTTTAACTTGATTTTTAAGAAGCTGTCAATCATTAAGGTCCTCCTTAGACCAGATTGAGAACCTGAAAGAGTTTAGAAATGTTTATGGTCTTATGGTATCTTGACGAGATATTCCATGATGCAGATCACTTCCCATTACACCAGTTAGTTACAACACTGTTTAATCTTACACTACATTTTCTCAGTAAGATTGTTTTGGTTCATTATCATCACGGCAGAACAGCAGGGTCCTGGATGGGGCATGGGTATGAATAATGCAAGCAGTATCAGCATATACATTTGTTTTGGAATTAAACTCATCCACATGGCTTTAGGTAGAGAACTACAATAGCAACTAGTCACCGTGTTCTCACTTTAAATCTAAACCTCATACAAACCAGGATACCTGAAACATTCCAGGTATTAAAAATGAAAATCCCTCCACTCGTCCTATGCAGCTAAAAGAAGACAAACAAAGACAAACAATCCATGTCCTTCATGCAAAAATAGGTATTGCTCTGCACATAAGAGCTCTTCTGTTTGATTAGATTGAATTTTGTCCTTTTTCAAAGTGCATTGAGATAACATCAGAATATTTGTCTCTATATACATGAACTGAACTGAAATGCACAGTGTTATCGGTATGCAGGAGAAAAGGGATTCCAAACACATGTAACCAGAAGGTTGAGGAGATAAAAAGGCAAGCAGTTTCTCCTAGTGTTCAAAATATAATTTTGTAATAGCCAGCTGCGGTACATATTACAAATTACTGATCTGTAAATGCAGGTACTTGGGACATCCAGATATGATCCTAGACTCTAGCTCTGGCTCCTGATCAGCGCTGTTAAAGGGTCAGGGATCAGGATTCCTTGACAAAACTCAATTCCTTTATCTACTAATTGTTGGTCTAGTGCTTTATCACAAAAGCCCAAGAAAGATGCATAGCATGTTTTGTGAAATACAATAACCTTTCTTCCAAGGCGTACATGCACATATTAGTTAGATAGAACCTTTACAGAATGCCAAGGCATTTTTTTCACTCTTTGCTCTCCACACACGGCTCTTCATGGTATCATTATACAAGCTTCTGATGACGGAAAACAACTTTTTGTATTACTTCATCAACAATAAGGCTGGGCTAATCCTTACAAACGCTGGTTGGGCTACAAACTGTAAGACATTTTGTTCCTCCTCTTAAAAGTTTCAGCCCCTAAAAGCCTATATGAGACCTTGTTATTAAAAAAAAACTAATTAAATGTCTGTCTGAAGTTTATAACAAACGTAGACTATTCCTAAAAGCCTCAGATCGGACTCGGGAATGAAAATTTGAATACACAGAGTGTATACAAAATTAAATTTCATTTTGTACAGCTTTCATTTCCATTCCATAAAGTGCAGCAGTGATCAAATGTAATTCAAGAGCTGTATGATGGTGAGAATTTTTATTTTTTTCATTGATCTCACAATGGAGAAATTTACACTCTGTAACTAATCCATCCCCTTGAGCAGTGTGGGGTTAAGGGTCTTATTCAGAGACACAGAGTGCGGGCTGTGAGGATCAAACCGGTTACTTGCAACCTTCTCAGAGCACAAGTGCACTGCTCTAACCAATAGGCCAACACTCCCTTATAACTTTACAATAAGGCTCCTATCATAGATGGCTAGAAATAGTTAACAGATGTTATTAACTAATCTCTAAACACTTTAACACTCATTAACAAGCATTTACTATAGATCAAAAATGTCATTCATGCTCAAAATGTTGTGTTTACAAATGTTTATTGTGTTTACATGATAGTAACTTAGTCTGAAATACTGAAAATAACCATAGAGAGAATAAAGATCTACTATAGCTGAAGAGATTAGAGAGACTATCTGGCAGGAATCAGGCAGTTTTGTCTCTTGCTTAATCTCGATTAATTAAAAATAAGCCCTTAAAGTTTGTTAGAAAGTGTTTACAGATTCATCAATAAACTATTGGCGATTTCTAAAAGGGTCCTTTTGGTAAAGTGGTAGTGACTGATAACACTTGCTGTTAGATATGATGATTTTCCACCTACAACTAAAACTTGACATTTATGTGTTTAACACAGAAATGTTGGCTTAATATTACTTATTTTTAAAACATAATTTTTAATGCATACAGTTTACACAAGAAAATCTGTCTGAAAATGCAAAACTATATTTAAAAGACTGAAGCAGGCACTTAAAAACACTCATGATTTTATTGTTTTGACAGTTTTGTTTTTCCGGTTTGCATTGGTTGATTTATTGTTTGAAAAAAAATTATTTGAATATTAATATTACTTTTAATTTTATGATGCAGGGCCCTAAATCTCCAATCCTGGATGGCTGAAGTTGTGCTACTTCTAGATATATCCCTTGCCTTCAATCAGCTTTACTAATGCAATGGCAGCAGTCTAGCTCTGCTAATGAGCTCAAATTCATCATGTCTGTAGAAAATAAGGTAGAATTCTGATCTTTTCAGAAAATGATCATTTGAAACGATTAATCTCAGCTGAGTTGTAACGGTGAAGATAAATTTGACACTAATGTTCTTTTGCTTCTTTGGTTAATGCAGTTAAGCCCTTACTTATAAAGTGCATCTACGTGATTCTGTCATGAGATGCTAAAGTGCTTTTTCCGTTGCACACAACACAACCTTTTGCTCCAATGAACATTTTTTTTTTTTCCATTTGCTATTCTTTAATCTCCTTCTGGCGAATGAAACAGCATTTGGTGTGAAGGATTATCTAACTGGGCTCTAACTTTATTTGCTTTTGATTGGGCACAATGTTAAAAGGCCTGGTGATTGTCCTTCTGTGATTAACTTTCCTCACCTTTTCCAATGCTTCTTTGAGACTGGGAATAGGATGCTCCAAAGGGAGGGGCTCAGGGAAGCGTGGACACATCATCTCTGAATTGGCATTGCGACCTGCCTCTTCATCTGTGTGATGGATAAGAAAGGAGAAAAAAAGAGGGAAAAAATGTTAGAGGAAACCTGGTGGGAGACAATTTTTGATTAAATCCTACTTGACATTTGATAGAAAACAGCACCCAGGGCACGATGGCAGGGGTGATGTACTTTAATTTGGTGATTGAACATTTCATTCACTATTCCCTGTCTCATGGGGAGCTGGTTAGATTTAAGGATACATTCATACATGGTATGTTCTATACAGCTCCCTGGAGAAAGAAGATGTGACCTGCCTTTGCTCTGAACACAAATAATTCAGGATATGTTGTTGTAGCCTCAGGCCACTAGCTTTTGATTTTGAAAAGAGAATGTTTTTCAAACAAAAACAGGTGTTTCAGAATGTATGCAAGTACAGTCCCATAGCTTTTTCTGAGATTCCTGATCTCACAAAATCATTTTACATGTAGTGAGTTAATTTGTTTTTATACTACGGCCAAACAGATGCATGCCATACAACATGATCTGGTGTAATAATATATAAAAAAAACATCACAGTTTTCGTGATGACTAAATTAAAAGCACGTCTTAATATCCACTGAATTTAATATGGATTTCTTATCTACTAACTAATGTCATTTTTTTCCAAGCTTTTCTGTAATCATCAAACAGACGATGCAGATTTCCGTTTTTGCAAATAGTTTGAAATTAATGATAGAAGCTAAAATTCTGATGTAAATACTTGTTTATTACTTTGCTGCAATTTTTGCACAATTTCTGTGACTGGATTCAGTCCTCTTGTATACTTAAGAATGTTAAAGCCTTTAAATCATTATTGCAACTAAACTATAGGTAAATAAAAAAAGCAAGGTTTTATTTTAGATTGTTGAGAATGTTTTTTTTTTTTATAATTTAGTACACATGTGTTTAAGTAAAAATAAAAAACAGTAATCTAATATTTTGAGATTACAAAAAAGGAAAAACAAAAACATTTTTTATCTTTAAAAACAATATGTCAGACAAAATTTATCTGTGACATAAGTTACTCAAAATGTTAAATAATATATAATATGATTAGTGTTATATGGTTATTTAGTGTTTGCCAAATTCATTAGTTAATTAACCAATCAGATAAGGAGGTCACTGTTATGTCACAGTATTGATTTAGGAAGACAGCATCCTAATTAAGAAGTTCAGCTGTTTTACTCTCATTATCTGTTTCTTCATATAAGAATGATTAGATAAAGTAAGAACAAAAGAACAACTTACCCTAAATTAGTCTCTGTATTATTCTACCATTTTGTGAATAACAGACAAGATCAGTAAATACTTAATGTAATTAAAAAGGGAAAAATTAGAGCTGGTGAATGTATGTGTTTGTTTTGGAACTTAGATATCTAATTTTTTGTTAAAATTTAGCATATATTTCAAAGAATCAGTTTTTACCGATCATCTATTGATCCATCAAAATTCATAATTAAGTGAACAAAGGAGCTATTAATATAAACACAACTACATGGGCTAACTTGAGAGCATTGGCCTAAATCATGGAAGCTTGATTATGTGGTTTCATAACTATTTATTAATGATAAATTAATTTATTAATGGATAAATTGGATGAACTTTAAGAAAAAAAAACTTTAAGAAAAAACAAAAAACTTTACTTATGTACTTATTGATATTGTGGGGGAGTGGTGGCCTAGTGGTTAGGGTATAGAGCTTGGAATCCTGAGGTTCTGAGTTCAAACCCCACTCCCACAGGCTGCCACTCTTGGTCTCTGAACAAGGCCCTTAACCCTACCCTGCTCCCAGGGTGCTTCACAATGGCAGCCCACAGCTCACCAAGGGGAAGAGTTAAATGAATAAGTTTAAATTATTATTGTATTGGGATTGTGCTGACCATGGAAATAATCCCCGCTTTACCACACCAAATGTTTATGCCCCCATCTTAAAAAAAAAGCATAAACTTTACTTGCAATATGTTCTGAATTATCTACTTAATAATAATTATAATGAGGCAGAGATCAAGTTGTTTGACCCGATGAAAACCTCTCTTCAAAAAAAGGCAAATTTGTGTTTAAAAATAAAATTAATTCTGCGTGTGAGTTGGGCATATAACCCATGGTTTGAAAAGCATATGTTTTTTTTTATAGAAAATAAGTAGATTCGAAAGGTCTGAAGAGAAAATTTATTTAACACTAGGAAAAATATCTTGTTTTCAACTTGTTGTTAAGCAAAGCTTTAATCATTCAGTCATACATCTACCTTTGTAAATTAACTTTCATTTCTGTCCTAATATAAAGCACTACCTAAAGTTTTGTGTTGATTTGATCAGCAAAGACTTTCAATATGTCAACATTTCACAAATTTACATTTCTAGAAGAACAGATGTCATTATATAGCATTTTTATTTTATTTTAATGTTGATCATAGGAATTAATGAAGTTATATGGCTACTTTATTGCTGTACAAAACAATATAAGTTCAAGCTAGAATTTATTAAGTAACTGAAGCACCGAGTGAAAGCAGTTGGTGAAATGAACATGCCCTAACTCTTTTGATTAATTATATTATAATATAAATACTGCATAAATATATCCTTCCTCTGGTCTTAAGCATGTGAAGTCTTAGATACTTTGCTATAAACCTTTTAAGATGACATAAAAAAGAATAATTTTCCTAGAAGGCATTAAGAGTAAATTTATCTTGAAGTTGACAAACTTGAAGACACAAAAGATATTTCAGTGAAAAGTGTCCTGACACCATGGCGGTCTTACCTGGCTGAAGTTTTGGCAGCTGATACTGCCAGAGGAAACAGCCTGTCATCACCAGAGAAACAAGAAGAAAGAAGACCAAACCCAGATGGGCCCACTTCACTTTCATCTTCTTGGTTTTCGAGAGTCCTTCAAATGTAACACTGACAGCTGCAGGAGTAGGAGGTGCCGTCACAACCGGAGTTGTCTTACGGAAAGAAAGGCAGACACACAACAACACATGAGTTAGCTTTGAATGAATACATTTTTTTCTATTTCAAGCATTCCATTGACTGAGCTTTATTGTTTATTAGACTTTTTTACAGTGCATTTCATATGTGATTTTGTCAGATACTCTCATTATTAGATGAAATGTTAAATGAAAGTAGTTCCTGTACTTAGCAGAACTCACCACCTGATGATTCACAGGCCAAACCAGAGCAGGATTACCACAGACAGAAATCTTCTTAACCCTCAATGAACATCATAAATATATTCTCAGTAATTCCTGCCATGTTCGCAATTTCTGCTGTCCAAAGGCAGTAAATGGTTTCCCGTAGAGGTTTTCCTGAGCTGGAGAAAGGCACAGACATCGACTCTCATCTCTGATTTTTCACTAACTATGCTGTAATCCTGCACCATCGTTGCTCCCGTTCCTCACAATTCAATTTCCTCTCTAGCGTCCATAGGCTGTTGACATCATAATCCCCAGATTTACTGCACCAAAGCGGCTGGGGAAGTCTTAATCTCTAATCCCCCAGAATCAATTCACTCTACTCAAGCCTTGCTTGGTAGAGTGCAGCAGTAACTTCAGCTGAAATGGCAACCCTCAACTTGAGTTTTGATGGGGTGTTTGGATGAGCCTGTTTCCCACAATATATATTCTAAAAAGCGCAATTGCTCAGGCTCAGCACATTCAGGTCAAATGGATCAGGAAATTTGTGAACCAGGGGGATTTCAGATAATGACAGTGGAATAAATGCCATCTCTGAAAGTCATAACTACCATAAAGTCTCCACCACAGCTGCAAACTCTTCATTGTAATATAGAGGAGTGAATGTGGTTTACTTAGAGGTACAGCTGTTTATTAGTAATCAGGTTCCTCTCATGTGCAACCATATACCAGTTTTAGTCCTTGAGGCAAACACTTTGTCTACTTTTAGAGTAAGGCTTAAACTTTTCTTTTTGGCAATGCTTATATTTGGAGTGGCTCAGGTTATCTTGAGCTTTCTGTATAGTTATGCTGCTACAGTCTTAAACTAATGGAGGCCGGAGGGATCACTTTTCATCATTGTGCTTCATTCTTTCTCTGTTTTCAGCTGATTTTCTTTAGATAGAAAACTTTGAACCAATCTGACTACATGATCTGGGTGAATTGTCTCTGTAAAGTGCAATGAGATGACGTGTTTTGAATTGGCACTATATGAACAAACTAAATTGAAGATTGAATTACCGGTAAATGAAGTGTAAGTACAGTTGTGTTTGAAAGTTTACATACCCTCCCATTAAAGAAAATTATAAAAACTAGTTATTAAATAACAAATATTAGTAGTAATAATAAATAAAAAAAACTACAAAATAATAATCTAGTAAAATAAAATATAGATTTTGTATTTTTGTTTTAAAAAATTATTCTAAAAAAACAGTCTCAGTAAATTGTCCCAGACAGGTAAAGTACCTGTGAACAAAGCAACTGTCAACAGGTGCTCCATCAGGTTTGACCTATTTATAAAATTATTGTCATTGCACATTTATACAAAAATGGAATATTAGAAAACCTCAGAGCATAGAGAGGTCTGAATAGTCTGATCACTCCTAGCTGCTCTCCCCTTTTCCTGGTAGTATGTTGTGCAGGTGTAGGAAACGCCATGCTCCCACAAAATTGTCATGAAATGGTATAATGGATTCATCTCCATTAGGCTAAACTTTTTTCTTAGGAGCCATACCTAAACCTTGCAGGTTTGTGCTTGATGCATCAATGTTTCCTAAAGAAATTATGCAGCATTTAATGCTATTATATACACATGCACCTTTTTCCCCTGTACCAAATGGTAGCTATTTCTATGGGGTACTTTGAGGGCATAGACCATAAACTTAAAGATGGGATGATTGAAGTGAAAAAAATGTGTAAAAGTGAAAGGGCATTGAACATGTTTGGAAATAGTATGGGTTTTAAAATGGAGACAGGTGAAACATTGTTATGATGGGCCATGAAAAATAAATAAGCAATGCTTGATGCTATCCATGGAAAAAAAAGCTTTTTTATGTAACATTTTTGAAAAACCATGTTGTTGACCAAAAAGCTGCACCGAGGTAAAACACAGCACAGAAATAAAATATCTTACAATATTAAAAATACTAACATCTTCCAATGAGGAAGCAGAGCCTGAGGGCTCCAGCTCGGATTCTCCCATTTCTAGTGCTGAGGTTGCCAAGGTGATTTAAAAGCTCCTCAATTGCAAGGCCCCAGGGGTGGAAGAGATTTGCCCTATGTATCTTTATGCTCTGGATGTTGTGGTACTGTATTGGTTAACATGAGGCATCAGGCAGATCCTCTGGATTGGCAGACTGTGGTGGTGGTCTCTTTATTTAGAAATGGGGACCAGAGGGTGTGTTCCAACTACAGAGGAATCATACTCAGAAGCCTCCCTGGTCTATTCTGGGTTCTGGTCCGTCTGTAAGTCGAATCTCAGATTCAGGAGGAGCAGTGAGGTTTTCATGGAACAATGGATCAGCTCTACACCCTCAGCAGGATTCTGGAGGGTGCATGGGAGTTTGCCCAACCAGTCTACATGTGTTTTGTGGATCTGGAGAGGGCCTTCGACCGTGTCCCTCGGGAGGTCCTGTGGGGGGTATGCAGGGAGTATAGAGTAGCGGGTCCTTTAATAAGGGCTGTTAGGTCTCTGTCAGAGCCTGGTCTACATTAACAGTAAATCTGACTCATTTCGGGGGAGCGTTGGACTCCGCAAAGGTTACTTTACTTTGCTTTGGCCTTTGTCACAGATTCCGTTCACAACGTTTGTGGACAGAATTTTTAGGCGCATCCAAGGTGTTGTGGGGATCCGATTTGGTGGCCTGATATTAGTGATTGGCTTCATCAGAGCGTGATCTACAGCTCACACCGGAGAGGTTCTCAGCCAAGTATGAAGCCACCGGGATTAGGATAAGTGCCTCCAAATCAGAGATCATGGTATTGAGGCAGAAAAGGGTAGAGTGCTTTCTCCGGGTTGGGGAGGATATACTGCTCCTCAAGGAGGAGTTTAAGTATCTTGGGTTTTGTTCATAAAATGAGGGGAAGATGGAGCGGGAGACCGACAGGTGGATTTGTGTGGCATCCTCTGTGAAGCAGACGCTATACTTGTCCATTCTGGTAAAAGGAGAGCTCAGCCAAAAGACAAAGCTCTTGATTTAGGTTGATCTAGGTTCCTACTCTCATCTATGTTCATGAGCTTTGGGTCATAACCAAGAATGAGAATGAGAAGAATGAGATCTTGGATACAAGCCGCCAAAAAGAGTTTTCTCCATTGTGTGTCTGGAGTTTCTCTTACAGATAGGGTGAGGAAGGCATCCAGGCAGTACTCAGAGTAGAGCCCCTGCTCCTCCACGTAAAGAGGAGCTAGTTAAGGTGGCTCAGGCATCTGGTTAAGAGGCCTCCTGGATGCCTCCCTGGTGAGGGACCCCGGACATACTGGAGGGATTATGTGTCTTGGCTGGCATGGGAACACCTTGGGATTCCCCTGGAGCAGCTGGCCCAAGTTGCTGGGGAGAGGGATTTCTTGGCCTCCCTACTGAAGCTGCTAGCTGCACGACCCGACCCTGGATAAGCCGAGAAGATTGATGGATGGATTAAAAATACTAAGGTGACAATAGAAGAATCCAAACAAACAGAACAATATCTATATTCATTGGAATCAAACTCAATTTGTGTTAAAGAATTTATTTTTTTAATTGGACTTTCTCATCTAATAGTTTGTCATCTCACAATTTCTTTAAAAAAAAGACATCAAGCCATTCTCTATGAGAAATCATGTAAACAAGTTGCATTAATCTCACATATCTATTTTCAAGACAGCTCTTGGGTTTTATAAAAGCCTCCAAACCTCTGAAAATCACCTATCTACCTAAATTAGTCTTATAACCCCTTTTGTTAGCAGAATCTATCACAAATTTGCTCAGCATGTGGTCATCATCTTAGTTTGGATTGTTTTTAGTATTACATTTAGTTATAATGTAGATAGCATGAGAGTGAGCACCCTGATCCTTCTTTTTTAATCTGTGCAGAGAGAGTCACATATGGCTCATTTTACCAGCACAAGGGCTCACCTCCAACTGCCAGAGCACTAATCATGGCAGAGGTTTAATGTGTTTATTGAAATACACAGTGAATGCATTACCACTCAAGTTCTACATCTGTTTGAGAGGAAGATTGTATATTCTAAAGTGCATAATGTTTGTTCAATTGTTGTTTTTACCTGAGTTTGAACTCCATCCAGTGGGGTTTGCTGAAGAACTTTACTCCCTGCCCTTCCCATGTTGCTGTGGCAGGAGATATTGCCTGAAAAGCAAAAAAATAAGAAAAAATGTCACTGCACTGACACTAAGGTGCAACCTTTTTCACGTACAATATACAATAAATTTATTTTGCAGCTGATTAAGCAGCATATTTTCTGGAGTAGTGTTAATAATTTTGCTCTTATATTTCTGTATATTTGTTCTCCAAGTTTTTCCACTCAAGAAAATTTCCACTATTATGGATGACAAAACATGACATTCCTATCTTTTGCCATCTTGTGAAACAAACAGTTTACCACCATAGTAAAATAAAATAAAGAAAATCAAGCCAAATCAAAGGCACACTCTTCTCTGCTAATTATGGTGCATTAAGTTTCAGGTGATGCAGTTTTGAATAGGGTGGATTTCCATATTGTTTAAAAAAAAAAAAGATCAAGTCAGCTCAATAAAATCTTTGCACTTAATTTGCTCACCTTTCAGAATAATCAGTCTTAAATTGTATCCTTAGTTCCAACAGGGGGTTTAAAGCCTCTTCTCTGTGATCTTTGAGCAAGTTTAATGTCCTGCTGTCACACTTTGTCATCTATTTTTTACCATCTGGTAACTGTGGATCTATGTAGTTTAATAAGGGTACGCCAAGAGAGAATTAAAAAAATACAAATCTTGGAAAGTACAATTGTACATATTCCTTCATGACTAAAAAATGTTTTTGAAAAGGCCCCTCTCAAATTTAGAAATAAATGTGACAGAAAATCTGGTCTGCTTAAGACTGCTGTGAGAGATTTCTCCACAAATCTGATCTAGTTAGACCAATTTTGCATGCTGGAGTGGGCAAATATGAACAAGTTAAGACTTGGCATTCTGATTGACTCATACCACAACAGCCTGAATGCTAAAATTGAATAAAACGTTTTTTAGCATGTCCCAATTTAATGGGGTGCACAGACTTGCAATGAGGCTATTACATTTTTGTTCCTTTTGAAACATTTATTGTCTTTTCACAGGAAGGAAGGATTATTTATAAAGCACATTTCAGCAACAAAACAATTCAAAGTAGTGCATATAAGAGGAAAACAGACTGGGGAAAGTATATTTCAAGATAAATAAAGAAGAGTAAAATAACTGCTAATAAATGGAAAGAAAGTTGGACTCTAAACTTTCTAAAGTCAGAAAACACAAAGTTAAAGGCCATTC